CACAAACGCTGGGACGTACTGGGCGTGCGGTCCTTGCCCGAGTTCCCCGAGCTCTTATTGAGCCAGTTGATTAATGTTATGTCGGGGCGTTCGTCCCACCTTGGCGAATTTCTGTACTGCTCATTTCTCGAGCCATACATACCTTTGCCGAAAGTAAATGTTCCTCGATTGACCCGCTTTAAGCTCATGTGTTCAACACTCGTTTGTTAGCCTTTTGAATTGTAGCGAAATCGACGTTTACGTCCACACTGGTTGTTGAGCGCCTGTCCCGCGTTATTTGTTACCTACTTGCGAGCGCAAACCATTAAGGTTTGTTATTATATGTAAATAATGTTTTGTAAATATCACCCTAGGTCTTAGATCCACCGTGCTTTGAACCACTTAGGATCAGCTATCGTATCGTATCACAGCATTATGACCCAACGAAAGGCTCCATAGGGTTGACATTGAAGGAGAAAATTAATCTCCCACATTTTTTGGTAGTCAGCAGTCAGAGGAATAATAATTTATCTTGGGTAAAAATGCAGATGCTTGGCAAGTCCTATGGGATGGTTGAAGTGAAAAAAATAGATCAAGGGATAAATGAATTGTCGTTTTAAGCGACTACAGGTTTAACTGCACTGCTGCATAACGGTAGTTTGAAATGAGATTTGAATGTGCGCACACAAAGCAATATGGGAGCGGTTATAGTTCACGTAATACGTGAGAAAAATAAATAACTAATGGGAATGATAACGATCACTCGTGTGCCGCTTGTTTGGGCCGACGGGATATATAGACCCAGTTTCCACATTAAGTAGCGTTTAATAACTGATGTGCAGTTAGTGAAAATGAGCAGATTGATTTACAGTGCTATGTTTACGCCCGAACATCGAGGGTTTTATGGCGTAATATAAATGTGTGAGTGCATCGTCGAGGCGTTTTCTGGGTACCATTAGTGTGGGGGAAGAAACAACGCAAGTGTAGGGGGGATGGTTCATAGTTGGCACACGCAAAGTGAAAGGAACTTCCGGCGACAATCCAAACGGCTATACTACTTGGTCAGCATTAGCTGGTGACCCCTCGGGGTGGTCTTGTGACTCGGCTTCAGAAGGGGACTACAGGAATGGTTTTGATTCCTCAGACTCAAATGTCGTTATCAAATTGCCACGCACGCGTCGATATTGTCCACTGTAGCCCCCAAGGTTTTTCAGTCTCAGTTGGCAAGGGAGATGAAACCGAACCTTTAGGTTCTTGTTCGCATTTCGTTGTGGCAGTTCAAGTGCGGTGAGGTGCTCGTACCAAGGCTGCAAGGCGTGAATGCCGTATTCCGAATATGACCTAATGCAGGCATTGAGCGTTTGAGAGAAGATTGATGGATCGAAGCACTCCGACGCTCTCCGCAAAAAGCCAATGTGTTGGTTGGCTTTCTTGATGACCTCTGCCTGACGTGAACAGCCAAGATCCTCGCACTCTCACACCTAGATTGCATTCAGTAGCAGCACGCTGTAAAGCTTGATCTCCCAGCCTATACTATCAAGTGGATTGATGGCATACGTTCAATGTCTTTCACTTGGTGGCGTTGAAATGAAGAATTTTTTGAGTCGCCCATTCATGTACCCTGTCAAGCTCGTCCTGAAGCGCTACGTGGTCACTTGTTGTCATCAGTGAAGAGTAACAAATTGAAAGTGATTACTTTTGTGAGACCGTTTATGTACATCAGGAATAGGCGTGGATCAAGTACTGAGCCCTGTGGCACTCTGCACTGAACTTCGATAGCGTCATCGATGGCGCTGCGAACTCTCACCTTCAGATATCGTTGAAACAGTAAATTACCTAACCAACCGAGAACAGGGTCACCAATTCCACAGATGACAGAAGATCTTGTTGTTTGCAAGACAACATCCGACGGCATAAGGATGAGCACTTGGTGAGATGTGATAATGTGTTTGACATTATGTATGAGTTCATCTAATACCTCGTCTACTACATTCGCAACAGCGTGTACGAAAAAGTAAATTTCATATTGCATTACAACAAGAAACTAAGGTATGCTAAGTTTTTGTGTGGGATTTCCATATGTTGATCAATTTGGTTCAGTCCGTTGGGTGATCAACTTACGGTTTTACTGTGTGTGCCATTTCGTGCACACCAACTTGTGATCAGTGCCACACTCAGCTCCACGCAGTGCACGTGTCGTGCGCACTGCACGCATGTAACTCCGGTGTACGATGACATAATCGAGTAGGTGAGCGTGCCAACTCCGTGGGTGCTTCCAAGTAGCTATAGCACTTACACCCAACACAAATTGTGTGTTCGTGATCGCGTGAAGTGAGGACATCCGGTTACCGTTCCCATTGCCTGAGGCAAAACCATGCGGTCCGAAGACGTTTGTCCGCACGGCGACATCACGCCCAACGCGCGCGCGTTGATGAAATCACCCGGTAGGATCTGTCGGTCGTTCCTCAACACACCGTATCACGGTGATCAACTGAGCCTTAACCTGACCCCTCGTGTCATCAGGCTAACACATGGCGGGACCATACGTGCTAGTAAAAGTGGCAAACCTACCTCTCCGAAGTTGTGGGCGAACAGTCAATAGTCGTGAGCTGGTGTCAGTCGGCTCTGCAACCAGCCGGTCATTTAGGCAGTCGGATAGTGAAAATTCGATCCCATGTTCCTGTGGTGCTGCGGTGGCGTTTCTCACCCAGTAGAACGTGTAACCAACGCCATCCGCATTCAGCTTGTCTTGCTAAGCGACCCATGCGGGCGGCATTGTTTCTCCCGTAGCGCGCGAGTTCCACTGTTACCAATGCAGTGCGTCGCTCAGGACACTCACTTGTGTGCGCAGTATGCGCACGTTACAGCACCCGATGCTGTGCGCTTTGTGCAGAGGCTTACGATTTCATCTGATAATCGCTCGTGTTGTGCCTACCCACCACCTCGTTCATACTGGCTCCAGTAGACAATTGGCCGTTGCTGGAGCGGACGCGGCACACCGTCCTCGTGACGGTGCTATGTTCAAAGAGTAGTTCCATGCATCCTGTGTGGAACGGGCTACGGCCCAGTCTCCGCTTTGTACACGTCTGGTGTGCATGATTTCCCACTTAGGCAGGAATGCTTCTGTTCTGTTGGTGAAACGTGGCTGCCATCTACTTGCCTCCGATCTTATTCCTTCTGGTCTGCACTGAAGATGGGGTGTGTGTATGGAACTGTGGGTGGTGCAGCGCAAGCCACCTATGGTCTCTCTGTAGGCGCAGGCGTCCTGTAAAGGCCACAGTGACGAGCAAATCCGGAATCGGATGCCGCCAATCCATGTTCATCCACTATATTTCTTTAATGTAATGAGAAGAAGGAAACTGGAACGCATTGGTGCCCCAGAGCGCAGTGTCTGCTCTCGCTGTCGCAGAGGCCACTGCGCCACTGTATGTCATGTTCATCCTACTGTGCAATATAGTTTACTAAGTTGAGTATTTCTTGTAACCACTGCTCTGATATAGCTTGATTTTACTTCGTTTTATCAACTGTTATTTAGCTGCGTTTGATTCACAACCATATTGGCAGCTCCGAGATGAGGCTATCCCACTTCATAGGTGACCATTGGGATAGCTTCGCAGACCCTTTATGTCATGCAAAACTTAGTGCTTCCAAATCTATTTTGGATCTGTTTTGGATGCTAATACAGTGATTACTGCTTTGTGACGGATAATACTAAAAGTTCTCGCCCCTACTTTTTGGTGCACCGAAATGTGTAGGTCGTCGCCATGATTCTTGACTTCCAGCTTGCTTTTGTAATGCGCGAGGCTTTGATATGAACAAGTTTACCGTCATCTGACATTTTGTTTCCCCACCCTAACACGCCTTCTCTCTTCGTCTCCTATTTCATCAACACGCCCAACACGGCCTGTTTTCTGATCTGTATGTTTACCACATGTTTTCAACTGTGCCTGCATGCTCCCCGACTGGCTTCTCTTTCGTACAACTGTTCCGGTTGACCGAACAAATCACCCTGTTGCTGCATCTTGATGCATAAGGCTTATCGGTCCTTCGCTGACGTTGTCTTCGATCGGCCGCATCTGTGCTAGTCCGGCCGCATTCCAAATTGAACTGATCCCCCTTATTTTTTCTTTTTCTTCTTTATCTTCTGTTTTATTCCTCCGAATTTCACTAATACCGCCAAACTTCAGGTTGAATCAAACCACCACATCTCTCTTTAACTCCTTTTTCACTCTTTCTCCATTCCATACACTTTTCCTTCCAATTCCCTACAGTATAAACTCTGCGTTTGTCCTTTTATATGCATGGCCACACTGGTTACTGGACGCCGTAGCTGTTTTTTGTTTCAATACTTGGTCGACTCGAGTCCACTCGCCTAATTAATTTTCTAGTATCTCCAGTTATTCTACTTCTAGCTACTTTAGACTAGTTTTTCCTGTTTTCCACACCCGGACTGAGGTCACCATACTGCTCACAGCATCTCACATACTCCACTACGCGAACAAGTACCAACTTGACAGCGTGTTTGCTGCATCGGTATTTTCCCATCCGTAGCATTGGTGTCTAGAACGTGCCGCAATTGTCTCTGATCTCTGCCACACCGCACCACTTTACATGCATGCTCTGACCGCCTGCTTTGCGTGCTTTCCTTTCTCCTCCTCCTCCCCGTGCGTTTCACACACTCTTTATCTGTGTCACTTTCTCTGGCGTTGTGTTGATGGATCAAAATCGGTTGCCGTTCGCCCCCGACTTGCTCCCTACTGCGCTCCTGTTCGCTCGCTCACTGGCTCGTCTGCTCTCACATACATCGCCTCAACCACACTCACCTGCATGCGCTCGCTGGCACAACTGGTTCCCCCACCGTTGCATTCGCCACAAATGACCAACACAACTCCCGGTGCATCCCTATTGCGTTTCCACTCCCCTGTACACACATATCATTCTTTGGTGCCGTGCCCATCCCCGGACTCTGGGCCAACCTCAACCCGTCTCCGGTTTCCTCCTGCTAATCACGTGAGCTACAGGTGGAACTGCTCCTCGCTTGCCGAGATGTGGCGTGTGGGGTCCGTGACACACTCCAATCCACAAGTCAGACAACGGTGGGTGCCCCAACTGATCCGGTGCATGAAGAAGTCCGAGCCAACGTACAGGTACGTGTCAAGGCATATTATGTGCGTTCAACATCTTGAAATATGCTTGGAACCGATCGAAAATTCGTGATTACAGAATGGTTTGAATACAACCGGTTGGTGTAGTTGCAGTGCAACCGACTATGTTTCAACCGAAGAAACTGTACTCCCATAAGTGCTCTCATGTGTTGCTTACCGGTTGGTTGCCATCACATAGTTTGGCTTGCTGACGTATTTTTTATAGATGCACCAGTTTTCCCTTCTGTAAATCCACGTTGCCCAAAGCTTTCCCAATCGATCGACTGCAGAGTAACCCACGAATCCTTAGTTCACAAGGGACCATCACCGCTACAGATGTCCGTCTTCTCTTGATACAATGATGATGACATACATGCCACGTATGGCTCTCAATTTGTATCCTAGGATAACTTCGTCATTTCCGAGGCATCACTCGCTTCGGGGTCGCTAATCAGGTACCTCTGGTTTGGTGGTCACTTGATTTTTAGCTGAAACAAATTCCAAACTATGGTGTACTCATCTTTATTCCAGATATCTACTCGTTAAAACTTATTACAATGGATCCCATTTTAGTGTACTCGCGTGTGGTATCGGAAAAATTTATGGTGATTTTGTTGTACCTCAGTCGTTTTCTCTTGGACTGTTTTTCTTTCTGGTGCCAGCGGTAGCGTAGCCGTATGTTTTCCAAAGATTTATGGTGCAGTAACTCCACTTCTTCGGCGGTTTGGTGAGACTGCCTTGGAACACCCGTGCACAGCGTGCCCTCGCGGTATACTCAGCCCGTGCGCGACTGGTGGTGGTCGCGCGGCAGCGAAGCGCCGTTACGGCGTACAGCTGACACATTCTTTTTATTTTATTACCCGCTAACTGTGCTCATCGACCTGTGTGAGAACCGTCTGCTCTGTTCTCCTTACTAAAGAGTTCATCTCTGCCCCAGCTAACTTTGTTCACACCGACCTCCATTCCATTGTTTGCATTTGCCAGACGACCTTATCCAACATTGAAGCCCTGTTGAACAAAGTGAAGAATGTTGAGGACGACGAACGTCGTGGTGTCCAGGCACTAGCATCAGCAGCCAGGTATTGCCGCGAACAAGCTACCCAGCTGAACCAACCTCTTGATCCGGACTCCTTGCTCACTCCTTTGAGTTCCCGCAAGTCTGTTCCTAGCGTAGCCAGTGTGTCCGCAGTGAGTGGATCATCCTCACTAATCGCTCGTTACCTGGCCCCAGATGATTTGGCACGAGCTGCTTCCGGGCCGTTGCAAAATGCCGTCTCGAAAGTGATTCTTGCCGGCAACACGCAAACGCAGCGCGATATGCTGAACGCCGCCGCAACAGCAAGGGATGTTGTGACGGATTTGATTTGTGCCACAAAGGTAACCAATATTTTGTTTCTCTTATTTCAGTCGTCATAATTTCTCCTTGATCATGTGTTCAGCTGATGTGTTGTTGGTTGTTTCACGGCGCTCAAGCTTTAGTTTCTCGAACGCTCCTGCGAGTCACGTTCAGCAGCTCTTACGCAAGTGCCTCTTTTACCTCGCTTTGATGACTAGTTCGTTGTAGTATCTGGCCGAAGAAATCTTTCCTTATATTTCATGGCACTTCGCTAGAAATATTTCACCGCAAATTTTATCGCACCGGGCGAAACGCATGCATACATTCAGGACCGACGAGGATGACCCAACGTCAGCCATTGTACGTAACGCTGGATTTTTTGTCCTTGATGACAGCGTGCTAGATGAGCGTTCACTGATTGAACTTCGTGAAACCATCAAATTATTTCTTATCTTTGCTCTTGCTTCCTTATCATTAATGGTCGTATTGCGCCATAACTTTTTGTTGGCGCCATTCGTTATATGCTTTCACTACTGGTTGTTCATCGACTATGAGCAATATGTATCAGCCAAGCAGAACTGATAGCGTTGATCATTATGGGGTGTCACCGCTCGTGTACCACTGTCAGTAGACTCGTGGAGTCCCCCTTCTCATTGTATCGGAATCTTTGAGAATCCTGTCGTTCGTTGAATGACGGAACAATGCTACTTATCTGCAAAATCGGTGCTTGGTATTGTCGTTTTGTCGAGACAGTTGCATCCTCCACGGTTAAAAGGCTTTTTAACCCCGACGGAATTCACGCTTCGTAACACAGTGCATCCCCGTATGCTTCGCAGTGTTTGTTTTTGTCATCCCATGTGTACTACCTTGTACTGTTTTGCGATAGCGGAGAGTCGAATGCTGTGCTGCTCCTTTCTGTGACAGACAGCGAGTTGGCGGAAAGCTATGTGTTGATCCTAGTTGTCTACCTCCTTTCTTTCGCCCTTTCCTTCAAACGCATTAATGTGCCATCTATGAGGTAAACTAAAAGGGCGCCAGCAGCACGCCGATACGCAGTACCGACGCTTCACCGCTGCGCAGCCAACACCAGTCGCATGTGGGATAAGGATACTGCGAGGGTCACCCGGTCCCTACGCAGCCTCGAACCCGCACCTTCGGACTACGAGGCAAGCTTGTGATACTTAGGGCTATGGGCTCACTAGTATCAATGTGACTGGGGTTCAAGGGCTACGGATTCAAGACCGGCGTCACCTGAACGCCCTTGTTGATTAATAAATCAGCAAAACAGACCGCTTTAATCTCTATTTGCGGAGGATAGCTCGTGCATGGTGGGAACACCACGTTTATGACGACGATGGTAGACGTCGCGTCCTAGGTACTACGGGCTTCTCTCTCTCGACAGGCTAATACCGCTGCACTAATTGTGATGGCTTGGTCACGTCCTACGCATGACGTATTCGTTTGCGCAAGACCGCAATGAAAGAAATCGCGTTGTCAGTCTACCGTATGGCGACAAAACGTTAAAGTACTGATTTTCGGTTTAGCAGCCCTCGGTCCCGTGCGTTTTTTGGGATGACGATTCAAGGGGGAAGAACACCAGTGGGTCAAACGGCTTGAGCACATGGCGCGAAACCGAGCTCAACAAAAGATCTGTACGAATCTATGTCTCGATTTAATTGATCAACAACACAGTCACTCAATAGACAGAAAAACATAACTGCCTATGATAGTGCCAAATATTTACTTTATTCCCCATCCGCTTTCCTTCGTGTGACTGACTGTCGGCCGCGCGCTTGACACATTAAGCCTTCCGTGCGATATGCATTGCTTGACTGCGCTTACTGTGAATGTTGATAAGGTACCTACTTGTTTAACACCCTCCGCCTCCACTATAGTGGACGGGGTGCACGGTCCTGCTGGCCGTGCTAGGCTCAAGTAGTGGTTCCATCCAGTCTGCATCGGACTACGACTCAGCCACCGCGTTGTGTACGTCCGGTACGCATGATTCCCATATTAGATAGACAGGAATACTGCTGCTTTGTTTGTTGAAGGAGTATGTTGATGAAATCTGGCTCCCATCTACATGCGTCTCGGTCTTAATTCTTCGGGTTTACACTGGATATGGTGTGTGTGGATGGAGCTGTGCGTGGTGAAGCGCAAGCCCCCGCATGATCGCTTTGTAGCCGCATGCATCATGTGGCTGTCCCAATGGAGGCTGCAGTGACGTGCGAATCCGGACACGGATGCCGCCAATCCATTATATTGTTGTTTTGGTGCTCGAATTGAGTCGATGCGGCTGATATGCCCGAGCCACCTTAGGTGCCGCAGGAGAAGTGTGCAATCCGCTGCACATATGCCACTGCGGTAGACCACCTCCGTGTCTGCAGCTCGGTCACTCCAGCTGATGCGCGGAATATGACGCGGACACTGTTGGTGAAAGCGCTCCAAGTAACTGACGTCCTTCCGACAAAGCGTCCATAAACTTGTGCAGCATCATCTTCTTGCTAATGCTTAGCTGATGACACTCTCACACGCGACTCTCCAGTTTTCCAAATGTAACAGCCGCCTTAAGTACACGGATGCGCAGCTCGCTCGTCATCTGGAGGTCGGTCAAAAGTATACTCCCCAGGTAGCAGAAGGGGGGGGGGTGGTTTCTGAAATGTCGTTACCAATGTCTTTAGGGCATGCACAATGATTCCGGTTCTGGTGAAGGCTGAGAAAGATTAGCAGTCTTGTTTGTTCATGTTAACCCCGAATTTGGCGGCTGTCGAAAAAAGAACCGTCGTCATGCGCCGCAACTCATCCGCACTGTAGGCAAACTATGCGTAGTTGTCGGCAGAAAGCAAAATACGGATGCTTGTCTCACATACTAGGGTTTTTGCCCCGAAACGACAGAGGTTCAGCAACCCACCATCAATGCGGTGTTCCACACGAACATCGTAAGCACAAGCAGCATCAAAAGTGTAAGACACCATTACATGGAGGCAAATATTAAACAGGACAGGGGTTGACACAGCCTTGCTTCACACTCAAGACAACAGCAAAGGCATCCGGTTTGTTCACTCAACTGCACCCTCACCCGCATCCCACTGTGCAGACATGCAATTAAACTTACGAACTGACTCGAACAACCAAACTTATCAAACACCAGCCACAGTGTCTCGTTATTCGCCTTGTCAGTTGCGTTGGTGAAGTTAGCAAACAGCGAGTACGATAGCTGATGTCGCTCACGACATTTCTCCTGAAGTTGACGGGCCGCGAACACCATATATATGGTGCTACATCCCGAACGGAATCCGAACTTCTCTTCCGCCGCGTTCGGTTCAACGACCTGCATGACGAAGCGGTTGAGCAGGATTCGTGCGATCACCTTCCCCACACAACCCAGCAAGTTGACATCACGATAATTCGTGGCGCGCTGCTCGATACTTTTGTACAGTGGTAGCACAAGGGCATCCTTCAAATCTACAGGCAGCTCTTCTTCAGCGCACACGCGCTGCATCCATTGATACAGTGCATGCATAAACACGCGTCCGCCATGTTTCAACACTTCTGGCTTTATCCCGTCGGCGCCGGCGCATCTGCGGTTTCGCAGATGAGCAATTGATTTCTGCGTCTCATCTAGTGTCGGTGTGCCGGCTGTTGCATAACAGTGCTTTCCGCACCTTGGTATTCTACCAATGGCTTCCAGTACCATAACCCGCCAGGCTACCAACGAATCTCTTTGATGGGGACGCAACAACAAAATTGAATCACTCAACCCACTCTCGTTTATGTAATCAACCGATTAGGTTTGGTGGACGGTAGTTATAGCGCGCCCGGGGGGGTGGATGGAAGAGGAGTGGTGACCAAGCGATGACGGTCGAGAGGAATGAAGACCCTCACTTCAAAGCTGGCCTCCGTTGAAGCGTCTCGGCTCCCTGGTTGGGATCCGAAACACGATGAACACGTTTGGTTGGACACACTTGCTGACATGGCTAGGAGCCGACCTCATTGGCGTTCGTGCTGTGAGTTTTTTTGTCCCTCCTCCTCCAACCATGATCTCATTCCTTAGCATAATATAATTTTGCATAATGAATTCTTTTGCTGCATACTAGCCGGCTGGTGGCTTTCCGGGACGATACGCATCCGTTACTGGTAGCTCAGCCGACTTGCCTCGGTTGCAGAATTTTATCTTTTGTATTGCAACACAATAGCTGAGGAGTTTTTCACTTGTAACTAAGGTGTATAATGATGATAATGACTTTAGCGCTCGCTAACATTTTTTATCCTGGCCGGTGGCGGCTCTTGGAAAAGTAATTGATGGGAGTTGCTGGTGTGAATACACTACACATTCTAGTATGCTAAGCCAATCACACTTTAGGCTGTTCTACCGCGTGCTGTCTGTCATCGATGAGGGTCTATCTCGGAGTTAATATTCCCTGGAGATGTTTTTCTTTAGGACTGCGCATTCCTTATCACGCGGACTGCACGTAAGAGATTGCCCGTCCTATTCGACGACGTAGCGAAACACAGTCAATGTTGTTGTATAGCTCGACATCACAAAAATTACATCTTTAGTATTTCGCTTATGTTTAACAACTGGTATCTGTAACCCCTGTCCGGCGAATAGCCGTGATGCCCGCATTTGGTAACAAACCGAGTTCTACACCGACTTGTTTGGTTTTCCGACTTATGCAATAACATCGGGCTTGCTCCGGTAGTCGGTCCACCTTAGTGTATCTGTCCATCATTGGTGCAAAAGAGACGAATCTTTGCATAGGAATACCAGTGTGTGTCATTGATGTGTACTTTGCTACCACCACAATTTATTGCGAGGATATTGTGCTTAGTGCAGTGCGCTCACTGATAATAGGGGCTAGAAACAGATTATGGGAATGGCGAGAATGTAACCATGTCTACATGCACCCAGCACAAAGCAAGCCAGATCAATTCCTAGAGTTCCACGTCCCACTGCACTGTTATCTGTCGGACACTGCGGCGATAGGCTGTTGTTGTCGGCCGAATCCGTATGACTACTCGCGCGACACTCGCTCGCCTGGGCTTGCAATCGCCAGTGATCGATGGTGGCTGATCGCATTGTCGTTTCGCTTGAGTCAGTCCTGCTGCGCCAACCTGGCGATGGCCACTGTGGCGATCGATCCATTCCACCCCAGCGACACGACGTTAACTTAAGGCGATTGGGCGATGGGTGATTGTATGTCTAACCAATTGGACCACGGCCTCTCTCTGATTGGTCAATGCGGTCCACACGACTGGCAGTATGTTACCGGCCAGCATTCGCGCATCAGGTCACGCTGGTGCGATGCTCTCGCACTGACTACGGCATGCTTTCTTTCTGTCTCGTAGGCTTTGCTACGATATTCGGAGGCAACGGCGGAGACGAAGACCGCATGCACTGCAGCCTCGCGAGGATTGGCCGAGGGATTTGCTGTGCTTCTCGACGAGCTGTTAGCGGTGAGTTTCGTTGATTTTGAATTCCAACTGCTCGGTCTGCTTTTTCTCCATGTTTGCACGGGATTGGTTTGCACCTCCAGCGCTACTGTTTGTTTGAGCCCTTCACGCAGTCACTTGGGGCTCCCTGTAGACTGGAAAACCGGCTACCATTTATGAGCTACCGGTTAGAAATGTATCGGCGCGGCTAAATACTTTTTTCTGTTTCTATTTCACAACTGATCAGGTCATCCTCCCGGAACGCAAGTCCACCAGTCATTCGTCTATTGCCGATGCTGCCCGACGCGTTGCAGATCTCTCCCACACTTTGCTCAATTTGTTGGACAAATTGCGGGGTACGTTTTGCGTCCCCCTGCTGTTTGTTGTGCTATTGACATGTTGCTTTCTTCATTCACCCTAGGTTTTGTGTTTCGATGAATCGCATCTCCTTCGGTGTGTACCCTATCTCCCTTTTCCAACCATCTGGACACAGAGGCTGCATTTCTTCTCTTTGCTTTTTGCCCGTACACTGCGATCCGCCCTGTTTCTTTAGACCTGCGCATTTCCTTCTCGTGCTGACGTTCACCGACAACACGGAACCTCCTTAAGAGATTAACCAACCAGATCAATATTGGATGTTGCCCGCCCTCCAATAGGTTGACAACTCCCATGGGGGGGATCTGCAAACCGAGGTTTGATTTCCCCTTGAGACACCTATGCTCAACCAACTTACCGATCCACCAGAACACGGTGTTGATTGACAGTTTCCACAGTATCGTCGGTTTTTAGAACACAGGTTTCTTCATCATTGCGCACTTTGTCTATACTGTGCATGTCAAACTAGTGACCCGTAAGCCTTAAGCGGTCTTCGAATGAACCGGTTTGCCACGCCTGGTGTAGACCATCAATCGGGGGCCTCTTAGCTTTACCCAACTAGCCCCATGTCTCCTCTGCGACATTATTGTTTTCTTTATTGAACTAATTTTATCCTCATTTTCCCCATTTCCGCCTACTGGATATGCCTTGCTCCTCCGTGCATCTCCTTCCTGTGTACTCTGCATCGCTTGCGCACCCGCAGATGGTCCCCGATTGGTCATGTACTTCCGAGCGAGCAGTCCTGAATGTAAGTTGGTCTGAGTCCATTTTATCTTTCTACTTAATGGACTTCCGTAATTTTTGGTCCATCCTCTCTGGTTTTGTTGTCATCCAACCGTGTGCAAATTTGCGAGGCCCTTCCACTGCACGAACCTTCCTATGTTCCTTTACAGGGCGGGATGTTGCCGAAAAGTTCATTGGAAGACATGTTGCATACCATCATCACTACGCCTCAGCCTACACTATTGGTGAGCCGCTGTTTTCCACCAGATGGTTTCTACTCTTTCTGCTTCTCGTTGCTTAAGTTACTTTGGACCCATTTTGACATGTTTCTTTTTGTGTGCTCTTTGAACGCTTCCTTTCCAAGTGGTTGGCACCGTTAGCTGCCTTCTAACGCAAGTCCACTACCTTTCCGTTGACGAATGAATTTAGGGTTATCGGTCTTTCGTTACACATTCCGCGCGATTACTAATCCCATGTAGCCACTGTAAACGTCTTGGCCGTTCCGTCTACCATTACGGCGGCTCAGCGACTATAACGTGACAAATTTGTCATGTTGCGGGCCACTAGTGGTACACCAGTGCCATTACGCTGGCTCTTCCAGTACTCACTTTACCATAGGTTTCGCGCACATCGTGGAATGCTGCTTGTGGGATGTGGTGTTTCGACACCGGTGCTGAACTGCTGGTGAGCAGCAATTTCCCCACTATCTGCACAGTTTCTTGCTGCTACCCAACAGACACCTTTTCTCGCGTGCATACTCTTCTTCCTAGCAACTCTTGGTTCCTTATTGCTTGAAAACAACCATTCGTTTCTTTCATAGCGATTATGCGGCTGGTGTAATGCCTGCTTGCTAGCTACATCCGTAATGATCTGTGAACCACACGCGTCTGGTAATGTTTGCGTGCTTTGATAGATCACCGTGACTAACCATACGCATTGCATGCTTAGTAGGCAGTTACATCCAACTATTCTCTTCCTCGCACGATACATTCCCCGTACTCACGGAAATTGATACCGGACCAGCAATTGACGATCAGCTAGCAAGACAAATCCACACTGTTGGTTGTTAACTCATTGTTTGGTTAGCTCATGACCAACCTCGGCAGTAGCAATACTCCCTCAAGCGCGATCGCTGGCTTCCTTTGCTTGGGTTGGCGCTATCCTACCGCTGATATCAACATTAATACTGTCCTTGCCAAGGGCAAAGCGCATGTTGATAGGCGTTCATCTCCCACACTAATGTGCTTTGATAAACACGTGCTGGCAGCTGCCGATCGCGATTCACCGAGTGAGCCATTGGTCACAATGCGCCGGGTTGGGGTAATCACACTTCGTGGGCTAGCTAGTTCACACACACCAGGATACAGTGCACCCTTCCGGACACCCCGCAACCCAGTCGGGCAGTTCGTTGTTTCCAGAACTGACGCTTAGGTAGTCTCTTTTTAAGCTTATCTTATCACAGCTGTTAATGAGGTGTGGCTTTTTTTATTATTTTTCGCACATGGTATTGTCTAGCCATATCAGGCTTTGCTGGGTTAGTTTAGATAGAGTGCTTATTTATGTCAAACTGTCGCAGCCCTTCAGTATCTCCAGTTGTCGACAATTTTCAAATTCACTTTTAACGGTGATATGGAAACTGCGTTCCACCGGACTCAACTTAAAAGGTCTGAATTTGTTCCCAGACGATCGACTTATTGATTTGGTGTGGTAACTCACAAAACTGTCAAGCAGCATTGGACAGATTGGCACTGCATGACAATCATTTCGGGCTTCATTTTGTATTCCCAAAATGCATAGCAGAATTCGTAGGGATCACTCCTTATGCTAACTTTGATAGGGACCAGCAAGTTGTCAAAAATTCAGTTACCCGAACAGGGGTATCTGCGCCTATGGAATAGTGAATGAAGTGACCTACCGGATACCAAAAATTCGAGTTGCCACGTGTGGCGCCGTCACGACATCTTTGTCGTCCTGCCTACAACGCGCAGCCATCCGTTCACTCCTATTGTACTGCTGCGATACCTATTCCATTAGATCGATTGGCGATGTTAAGTGACTACCTTTGACCACCGGTGACTTCGCAGTCCAGTTCCTATCTGATTGGAACCTAGCACGTGTGGTTAGCTAGTTCACTGCCTTGTTTATGGCAGTAACTCGCTCACCAGTTATTTTGAGCACTAGACTCCGACTACTGGATCCTGTGTTACGCATGTTAGCAGATGGACGTGCATTGTTTGTATTAACATAAGGAAAGGAGAGGAAGCTTACCAATGGCTTGTTCAAAAAGAACGAATGTTATCACTTTGAAGTTGACCTTAGCTGCTTAGATACGCTTGGTGACTTGCCCAAGAAGCAACCTCAATGATGTTCGTGATGTTCGATCACACACGGTAAAAACAGCGCAGGATGAAATGAAGCGTTTCTTATTATCATTTTATTACATCGTACTGTGTTGCAATAGCTGCGGTGTTTTTCACCTCCAAATGGCATGCAGAACGAATGGGTGGACGGGTATGTAATTTAGAAGTTAACCTGTGCCTATTCGTGACATCTCTCTGGTCGAGCACACTGTCATTTTCCCAGCTATTTATTGCCGTTATAGTGATGGTAGATGGATCTACCCTATCTATCTTCTCAGGCTGTAGTTAACAGGCTGTTTATCAACTCAATGCGTTGAATGGTTGTAGCCATTGTCAACGCATATTATCGAACCTGAGAGCGTGTTCAGTCAAGGAAACGAGGGATTATTGCGAACAACATTGTGCACACGGTTGTATGAGAGTGGAACCACTTAGAGCGGCAGCTCACAATCAGTTTCGAATTTTGCTTCTGTAACTTCCTGTCTATTGGATAGGAAAACAGTACAAAATCCTTACGACTTCATTACCACATGAGTCTTGCCAATATTTGCAGTATTCACATTTAGCACGCCTCCTGGTTCTCATGGAGCGGCCACCTTAGGTCGCCAACTGTATCAATTCTTGCATCGGAACCCAGCTGTGGATGGACAGCGATTTTGGTCGACGTTCCACTCGTAAACCACGATCGTTGGTTCTCCCAATCGGACACCAGATGAGTCAACTGACTAGCTACCAGTCAGTTCACACACGGGCGGACTTCGGCTTGATTTTATTTTGTTTCTATATTTTCCTTCACTCTATGCATCTGCCTTCAGTTTTGTTATTCATCGTTTCTTATCGTGCTTATTTCCTTGGGATCAAACGCTGCAGCCGGACCTGGTTCGACGCGCTCTGCTTACTTTCGGCCTACCTGTTTCCCTCTGCCCATTCACCAAAATGTTCCGGACAGCAGCGGACCTGAGGGAGTCAACGACGAATCAGAGGCTCGCATAAGCGCTGCCGTGCAGCAGCTTGAATCTGCCATGGTGGAAGACGTGAGTGATTCGCACACTCTCATTAGTGATTTATGAAAACAGCTCTTCGATGAGATATGTTTGGGTTACTTGGTGCTCGCGTGATTAGCCCGGCCTTTTCCTGCCTGCTGCTCCGCTTTGATCAACACCAGTGACCAAACATATTCCCATTGATCAGCTTTGATCACCATGAGATTCGACTCTGTTCGACCCTTCCTGTCCTCTCCTTCCTTGCCGTTGGAGTCGAACGATTTCATTATTCTAACCCACACTTACTTGTCCCTTCGGCTACCAAGTAGATCTCAGTTTTTTTTTTACATCGTCCACATTTACAGCACTGAATAGTGTTCAATAGTGTATGATGGGATAAAAAGCATTGGCTTTACAAGATCCATAGGATGGTAAATGCAAAATAAATAAAAATCACTGGATTCCGACATGGAATTGAAATGCCAGTAGTCTAAACCTAGTACATCACACCACAATGTGTTGTTTGTCACTCAGATGAATGTCTAACAATTGTTTGAAGGCTGTAATGTTCGGAGCGTTTACCACATGCGTTGGCAAGTCATTCCATTGTGAACAGATTCTAAGAGAGTAAAAATATTTTCTACAGTCTAATCGGGAGTGTTGGATTATCAGCTTGAGGTTATGACCTCTCGATCGCTTATATGCGGCCAGGGTGAGCAGCGATTTGCACAGGTGATCGCTTTCCGTTAATATCCGGTATGCGAGAATGAGATCTCCGCGTAGTCGTCGGTATTCGGAGGAAAACGTTCCGATTAAACTGAGACGCACTTCATAATTGAGACAGATAATCCGCGTGTTGCCTTCGTAGCTCTTCGTTGGGGCTGCTCTAAGAGATGAATATCCCGTTTTAACCATGGGCACCAAGCCTGGACGGCATATTCGACGTGGGGACGGATATAGGAGTTGACAAGCATGGGTACCAACCGTCGTTCAAAAACACCAAAATATCGCCTCAAAAGTCTCAGGTTCATGTTCGCCACGTTTGCTGCTTTCGAACATTGGAGCGAATATCCCAGACTTTCTTGCACAATGATACCTAAGTCTTTTTCTGTGGTCACGCGCAGTAAAACGTACTGCCCCAAGAGGTACGTGTTGGTAAGATTGCTGCGCAATGACAGTAGGTGACACTTGGCAGGATTCAGGGGGAGGTGCTTTATATCTGCCCATTTGTTGATTCGACCCAAATCATTCTGGAGGAGGGCACAGTCTGATGTTGAGCGAATAACTCTCCAGATTTTTGCGCCATCTGCAAAAATTTGCATCGAGGATTGAATATTATCCGGGAGGTCGTTAATGTAGACCAGAAAAAGGAGGGGACCAAGGACGGATCCTTGAGGAACACCGCTGGAGATGCAGAGGGTTTCTGAGAGGGCATCGGCGACTCTGACCTTGATCGTTCTGTCATGCAAATATGCTGCTAGCCAGGTGAGTAGGGAACCATGGATACCGTAGGCACGAAGCTTATGAATTAGAGCTAAGTGATTGACTCTGTCGAATGCCTTCGAAAAGTCTAGGTAAATTACATCATGAGGTGATCCTTCATCAAGCGCTTTGGTCCATGAATCCCGAGCAAGAAGCACATTTGTGAGGCAAGATCGTTTGCGCCTAAAGCCGTGTTGGAGATGAGAAATTAGCTTCAGACTCTCAAAATATCGTGTAATTTCATCTGCAACTAACGATTCCATTACTTTTGATAAAACAGGGAGGAGAGTAATGGGTCGGTAGTTGGCAGGATCCGATCGCTTACCTCCTTTGTATATCGGAGTGACTATCCCACTTTTCCACTCAGACGGAAGTGTTTGGGAATTGAGTAGACTTTGGAAAAAGCTTGCGAGGTGTGCTGCTATGGTGGGTGCAAGAGTTTTAAGAACATTGGGTCTGATCTTGTCGACTCCCGGAGCGCTGTTTTCTCTTAGAGACCGTACTTTGCTAGCGACAGCTGCTGAGGTAAAAGTGACAGTTGATATGCCGACCACGTTGGGTGAATGCTGGTTTGGCAAAGGTTCTATGGCGTTTGCAGTCACTGTGCCAAACTGCAGAAGTAATGCGTTCGCAGCATCCACAGCAGTAGTCGTTAGGCCACCATCCGTCTTGAGTGGTGGTATTCCTGTTTTAACTTTCCTTCTGCTGTTCACGTACCTGTACAGCAGTTTTGTATTGTTCGTGAATTTAAGTACCATGTTTTTTGCCATTCGTACTTATCAGCTCTAATCAGTGATGTGCAATAGTTCCTCACTATTTTGTAATTCTCCCAGGTGGCGTCGCAATTGTTCAGCGCGTATTGTCTCCAGATCTCGTCTCTGGTGCTAATCCATTTACGCGTTCTGCTTCGGATCCAGGTGTTGGTCCGGTGCGGCACTCGTAATGGTATGACTTTAGAGGCTGCTTGCGTGACACAGCTAATTTTGTCTTTTAGTTCGTTCCACGCTTCGTCTGCCGTGCTCTGCAGATTGAGGTCCCAGTTGACGGTTGTCGCTAGGCTGTGAAGCACGGAATAGTTGGTTATAGTTCGTCGGTTTTCATGTCTGATTTCAGTAGTATTGGCGTAAAACACAGGCAAAATTTAACACTGAGTGGTCACTGTTGTCTAATGGTGGATCGTATGAAATTGTCTCAATCATCAACTCTTCGTTGGTTAGGATTAAATCCAGAAGCGATGGCTTATTTGAACCGCGGTGTCTAGTTGGTCGGTGCACGTGGTTGTACAGAGCTGCTGTATCCATAAACTCGAGAATCTTTGATTTGAAGTAAGGACCACTAGAAGTCGCTGAGACAATTGAGGGTACATTAAAATCGCCCATGATTAGACAATGTGAGTACTTTTGAGAAGCTGCATAATGAAGCGCGTTTAACAGAATGTCATCTCGGTCTGCGGTGGAGTTCGGTGGCCTGTAGACAACTGCCAACAGACAAGCATCCCACGTCTTCTTCGAAGGTTCACTACCTCGGCCATTTAGCTGCATTCGGCAAATCAAAGCGTCAGAGACAGCAAGGTGACGTTCGTTAATAGCCTCACATCTCAGACAATTCCGATAGTACAGAGCAACGCCGCCACCGCGAGATGGACGATCATTGCGAATAACTGACATATCACTGATTTCGATTTCCGTGTCGAGCATGTCATTGGAGAGCCAGGTTTCGGTTACAGCTATGATATCCCAATTGATTGTGTTATGTCGATGGCGCAATTCAGGTAGCTTAGAGTTGAGCCCCTGAGCGTTTGTGTAGCAGCACTGTATCTGTTGACACATTAGGAGCTCGGTTCGTTGTGGTAATTGTTGCTTACAGCGGTGATCTGTATCCAATAGGCCTGATTTAATTGTATGCTCTTCGACTCGACTACGGAATTCGATAAATTCTCACTTTTTACACCGTGTATTGCAACCTTTCTCAAGATGATTCATAAACCTCAATGTCTGAACTTTATCTATTTAAACTATGCTCCTGCGCCCTACCCTTTTAAATCGCTGGTCTGCGGTTCGAACAGTTTCCCGCATTGCTCTCACGGTTTTGTCACTCGGTCGTGCAGCTGGTCCACTGTGTATTGAGTGAAATTAAATGGGTTTAATCGGTTACTACCTCGAGCCACTAAGGTACCCACCTTGAACATGATAACACTCGTCAACGATGGCCTCATTATTATAAGGGGCGGCCTTCGTACCTTCACATTGATGTATTTCCACGATTAATGCTTAGACTACGTCCACTTTTCATGAAACATAGCATCTCATCCTACCCTAGCCTAAATTCCTTAATCTGAGATTCAGAACTGTATGGTGCCATCTTGGAGAGCTCAGTTGCATTTTCTACGTGTATAGTATTCGGAGCAGACTTACTCGCCTAGCATATGAGCTACACACAAGCTCTTCGGTTTACATTTCATCTCCGAGGCCGATTTTCATAAACGAAACTGCTATATGTATACTTGGGAACTCACTCCACTGGGTGACAGCACACTTATCCGGAAGGCAGCATGGTACCATCGGATCTGAGTGCAGCGACGCTACTTGCGCTGTGTCATGACAACGCATATAACACTTTTCCTCTGTAGAGCCATCCAAACAATGTGATATGTACGCGTAATATTTGCAAACATCACAGACAGGAGCGAGCAAAAATGAACTTTTTGTGTTCTTCACACGCAACTAACTTGTTGCCAGTGTTCATCATTCAAGCCGCGCTTTGTATTCATATATATCATCCACTGAACCCGATTCTGCGCCATTTCCTCAAGGGTTTCCAGCTAACGGTGTTCTCCTTGGATCCCCAATTCGCAAAACGCATGGGACTGATAATAGCCAAACTGGAAGTCAGCACACTGATATTTTATCGCCTTGTGGCAGGCTGATCACAGCGCGATTTCTTCCATTGTGGTCCTGTGCGAACGAAGAGAGCGCATCATCGAAAATATGGGATTCCCACCACACACGAACTACACTTTGCCAAAGACCGGATCCGATACATCATTTACCTCTATATGCCAGGACCCACTTTCGTATAACAGCGCTACACGAACACGGGCATTGTCGACTCTGTCCTTCACCGAGTTCGAAACGTCTGGACGACGTCACAGATGCCCTAAATTGCCGAATGCTGATCGGGCATTGGCAATATGAAGAGAAACCTTTCGCCTGATGATACCATCAGCAGAAACGCAGCTCCCACTGTAGAAGAAGCTGCATGCCCTAAGGATCTGCCAATCCTAGAGTAGGATTTGACATTTCGATGAAAACCAAGGTTATGCCATACGTAGTGGTATCAAGCACCATGCGATTTAGTGACCTGCACACTCTCTCGGTCGTCACCGAGCAAGGCAATATCATCGGCACACTCCAACTCGGTCGTGCGGTTTCCTAGTATACACTTTAAACGGGATACCGGAGGCTTTCCAGAGCACTCAGTAGGACATCTTCATTCGCACGACTGAAGAGAAAGGGGGACATGGGGCATTCCTGTTGTGTACCTCTAGGGACGGTGAAGGGCTTACAGTA